TAGATTTAATAAGTATGAGAAAATATGAACTTAACTGTAAGGGGATAAACCATTAAGACTAATAATGTACAGTTTTATTTTAAAAATTGTTTACAATAGGTACTCCAAGTTCTCCTGCTATTCAGCTATTCCCATCAAATATATCTCACAGTTGTCAAAGTACTGTTATTGATGTAAGAAAATTAAACTTCAGTAAAACATGTCTTTCTCCAAGTTCAATTTCTATAAGTGATAAGACAACAGAATTAACTGGTAATGCATATATAAAGAATTATCTTAACAAATTGATTTATAATCTATTGTATACATTTTTTGTCTTATTTAAAATATTTTATTTATCTTATGTTATCTACTCACTTTGTTAATATTAGTTTTAATTGTACGTCTATCATATTTAAATGATTCTATTTATATTTGAATAAAATAATCTAGTGCAATAATTAATAACATAAAGTTGACATATTTTTAATTTAATTTATTGTTGCTAGATCTAGAGGGGATGACATATGTTATTGATGAATCTTTTATTGGTGCAGTCAACACATCATCATCATCATTTAAGAATTCTCACTTATCTTATATAGATACGCAGCAGTCGGCTACCTTTTCCAATGAACCACAAATATCTACTCCCAATGCAATACTTGGTGAATAATATATAAATTAAATTAAAATATAATGTTAAATTTATAAATTTATTTATATAATTTATTTTTAATCTCTATAGAATTTCTTCAAAAAATGAATCGAACCATATGTAATAAACATATGATATTCATTAAATGAGAAGGTTGATAAAATATATGATATATTATTGGAACCCGGTTGCTTTGAACATTCATCAACAGAAAAAAAATACTGTAAATATATCCCAAATGGAAGTATCAAATCTTCCATGAGAAACAGAATATGAGCTGTAGGAATTTGAAAAAAAACTTAGAGTCAATAAAGTATTTAGAACGAAACTGGTAAAAATAAAATTCTAAATATGCTATAATATACTCATATTAATACTTTTATAAATTATTAATTATATACAGGTAGAGCTCAAATGTTTTTCACGTAGCACATTGCCCAGTACTGTGCGTATTATAATGAGACAAATGTTTAAAGATGCATTGCATGAAAAGTTTAGCTACAAGGGTTTGAAAAAAAAGAAAGTATTTTATACTGGCTACATGTACAGTCATTTCTGGTGATAATTTGTTTAGTTAAATATACAATTTCAAATTATGTTTTAAGCTTGATTAAATTTTTATAAAAATATAATAACAATTTATAATACAATAATTGTATTATTAGCTATAATTAATTTCATTTTTTGGCAATAATAACAGATTAAAATTCAATATTAGGGTTCTAGGATAAATGTTTTTATTAACATGTACAAAAAAATCCAAAAGTGAAAGAAATAACCAGAATATGTTATAGCAGTGGTGGTCCTTAAAATCAGATAGGAACAACAATTTTACATGGATAATTTTACTCTATTAAATTTGTTTAAAAGTAAATACTAATGAATATTTCAAACTAACGCAATAAAAAAGTAAGGTATAATAAAATAATAAATATAACGATGTTCTATGTTCACCTATCAAAATATGTTACTAAATATGACTTCCTCAGTATAAATCCACTGTGTCACTGGCACGCCAATTAATAATAAAAAAATGTATTACTACATCACCAGTATTGCTACATGTATTACTTAAATTAATTTTTTACTTGGTGATAATAGGTTAATTAAATAATAAATACAACTTGCTTTATAGCAAATAAATATTTAATTTAAAAAAACAGTATAATGATATAATATATAGTTAAAAAGTTTATATTGTTCATTTAATTCTTTTACTTAAATTTTAGATGCAATAAAACAAATGAAAAATTTCAAAAATTTAGTGATGCTGTGATATCGAGACTTACATAAGGATTAAGGACATTTATTTCTGGAGCTAAGTTCCGGGAATCAAAAAAAATCTTCTTATCTCTAAGGAACTATCATTTTAATATAATTATTAATTGTTGTTGTAATGACTATATTATATGTTCTTTTTTTAAAAATACCATGTTACAAATTTATAATATTCATGGTCAAATGTACCAGTATAAATATTTATCTGTTTTAAATTTGTATTAGTATAATTATTAATTAAAAATAATATACACAGTTAATTAATCATGGAAATGAAAAAATTGATTTACAATTTTTGTTGTTATTTACGTTTTCATTATTTCCTTCCTATTATATTATATATCATAACATATATAATTGTTGGAATTTATTTAAATACAAAAATAATTAATTAAATAAATAATATACAGGGGCACCATTTCAATGACGAAATTATAGGTGCTAAAGTCATTTATTATTTCAGTTACTTAAACCTATATAATATATATAGTATATATAGTCTTATAATCACGGGGTACACATAATGATAGTAAATCACCCACACTACCATTATACAATAAAAAATCACATATTTAATGTTTTTTATAATACTCCCAAATATAAGTATTATTAATTAATAATACAAACTACAGTTTTTAGGAGGGTACCACTTCTAATTGAACCCACATAAATTTATATATATATTTTTTTTAGACATATTTATTTAATGTGTACAATTTATATGACAATATTTACAATAAGCACAATTCAGGGATACATAATAGGTCATCGGTCATGGTTGGCTTGATTGAAGAAGTTATTCAATAATAACACTTCATGGCGGGATAGTAGTAGTTAGTGGACTAGTCAACTAGTCGATTAGTAGGTCACGGCACCAGCTACGCTTTTGACATCGGCCAGGGTCACCCAGAATTGTTTGAGAAGAGAGGGTTTCGGTGATTTGAAAGCTTAAGATGGAAACGTTTATATAGGGTTTTAGCGAGTTTTTAACTGTCGGAATGAGGAGGTCTCTGAGGAGGGTAAGTTTATATGTAATATATATATATTTTTAATTTAAAAAAAAAAAAAACAATATTGATACAATCTTAATCATATGGTAAAATAATATTTTATAACTGTTTATTATGCATAGTAAATAATATGTTTGGTAAACAGCATTTTTAAAATAATGAAATGCATGGTTACATTATAATTTTCAAAATAACAATACATTGATGTTATGTTTTTGATGTTTATTTGATTTCAAACCGGTGGTCAAACAACAATATATAAACATTAATATCATATTATTTTATCAAAATATAATGAAATCCAAATGATTAAATAATGTCATCATTAAATAAGTAATAACTTCTAAACAATCAAAAAATGTCTAAAATCTAGATTTGAAAAAATGTTTAATATGCCTTTCTTCAAATTTCTCATTTCTTTCTGGTTAACATTAATTGTCTGAGAAAATATGTGGATGATGTCAAAATATGGTTGGATGATCTAGCATTGTGTGCAGCGTTTATTTTAATGGTAGGTAGTGAGCTATATGTTGAAATTCAATATTTCAAGTTTCAAGCTTTTAAATATAATTAAAACTGCAACTTTATATGGTCTTTTAAAATTCATACAGCAACATTCTCTACAAGATAATGTACAGCTTGTCAGCAAAAACTGGGTATGCTCTATAACTCAATTACCCACATTACTCAGTATCATATACTATACATGTTTTATAATTTTGTCTGTAAGATATTGACAATAAAATAGTCTAGTTTCATGTTCGCAAACAGAATTCAAATATATTTATAGAGTACAGAGCAATATGGGTAATTTAGTTGTACAGGTTACCCTGGTTTCATAGACACACAGTATATTCTTAAATTAGGAAGCAGCATTAAGAAGATAATATGTTTGTTGAAACCATTGTTGAATGCCAGTTACTACAGCTTTTACCATGGTACAAGAATCGTCTACCAAGCTTAGCAATACTTTCAATTGAGCATAAAATTACATCTAATACAATCTATGGATTGTACACTTCAATCATCAACAAATCTGCTTCCAAAAAACATACTTAAGTTAAATTCTTATAATTACACGAAGGCACTTTTACTATGTTCAAAATAAGAATGGTAGTCAGCAGCCAGGTTGTGTGCATGGGCATAATAATACTATATAGCAAATATATAGACTGATGACTTGATGGCGATAGCAAAAGAGCTTCGCCTGACCGTTGGAGACGTAAATTTGTCACCGCTAACTACCATTCATATTTTAAACAGAGTATATATTTAATTTAAAAAGTACAATTATTATATTTACATTTTTTATCATTCTTGTTAATGTGATAATGTCTTTTAGAATTGGTCTGTTAAGTCATATAAAAGTAACTAAGTAGGTGATACAAATCAGTTAAGTAATTCCTTTATTTTAAATTTAAAATATTTCTTAATATTTTGTAATTGCATCTTTAATTAAAACAATAAACTAAAGCTTTAAAGTAAAAGTTAATTATGTGTATGGGTAAATAAAGACACTTTCTCAGAAATTTTTATTAATTTCGGTAGTATGTATAGGAGTCTGAGGAGCACCAAATGATGGCACAGTGATTGGTGATTAAACCATGAAACTAAAATGCATATGGTATATAATTGATGAATAAGTGCTAGACCAGTTGTCAGTTGAGTAGCGGTTACCGAAGCTACAATCAACCAGAACCTATATGAGAACAGTACGATTTACTTGTTTGAATTCCTTAGAAGTCAGTGGTGCATATATTTCGAGATATTTTTGCTCATTATGACGAAATACATTATTATATGGGTACTAGTTAATTAATACCATATTATAAGCACATAATAAGTAGGTACCTACTTACAGTTGAAACTCGTTAAGATTTAATTTTGGCAGTTCAGTAATATAAATAAGTAGTTATACTATTGAGTTTTCAGTGCATGTAATTGTTTTGTAATATAAAGCAAATGCATACATTACACATCACCGAAGGAAATTAATAGATAATCAGTAGCATAATATATACCAAACATGGGCGTGAACTTGATCTTACCATTATTGTGACAAAATGAACACTTACCGACGGAAAATTGGAATTCTTCGTCTTTTTCCTTAGCCTTGGTGGTTTTCGACATGTTCCTCGTTAGTTTTTAGTCTTCACGGTATTATACATATTGTTGAATATTCAATCACCGACATCGTGGTTCTTCGCCGTGATGCTGTTGCCGCAGCCTGTAGCGTCGTCTACTCGTGCGGTGCGTTACGGAATGTAACAATGTAGGCTGCATCGATCGTCCGTTTTGCGCATGTGCAACTAAGCGCATCGCCAGTGCTTACGGCGTAGTACTCAAAGGCGTTATAAACCGGTGGCGTCGTCTTATACAACGTCCTTGACATTTATCCTATAATTTTGTGAACACTGAACATCGAACATCATATTATGATTAAAATATTCAATTAACGGGAATTATTTATGTCTGTGGTCCTCTTGGATCGTATTATTATACTATGCATGGACTCGGTCTCGATAATTTGAGGCACATAATAATAGACGTATTATTATGTTTATGTATTCGACTTTTGTATGCATAAAAAGAAGCGTCGTATATTTATCCATTTGAACTGATATATATAAATACATAAAAATGCGATGGTCCACATCGTGATTGTACATATTATCAAGCATCGAATACAGCGACCGATCGCGTCAGTACTATTGAGTGCGTCACTACGTCAAATTGTTTAAGCGGGGAGATGGGCACGACCGCCCCATCCATATTATATGAAATAATGATAAATAATATTATAAGACGAACCACAATTATCGTTAGCGTTATCTGATAAGCGTGAACCCGTTAAAATACGATAAAGACATGGATGATTTTTTTTTTACATAATATTTTAATAACGTTTGTTATTAATTTTTTGATTTTTACACTAGAGAAAAAAACAGTATGACGTCATAATATATTAATTTCGATGAAAGACAGTCGTTATATTACAAGAACGGCCGACGATAAGAGATTCGTGAGCCGCACGTTTAATTAAAAATGACGATACGATGGCAAGAAAAGTTATAATACCTATTACTATTATAATATTGGTAAAAAAAAAAATTGTTAAAAAGAAGTGGGTTGCGTGAGTCTATGATATTTGACCTGTGGTATATTGTATTATCTATTCTGTGTGCCGAGTTCAGCTAGAACATCGATAAGATAGAAACTAAAAAGTTTGAGAAATTGGAGAGGACGCTTGTCTGTAAAATATGCATCGTTAACTGTTGTAAGCGGTGTTCGCAATCGGTAGGTATTAAAATAAAATCGGAAAAAAATTCGCATCCGTGATGCTTACCTGGAACATCTTATTTTCGTAGGTGTGCACATTAATTATTCATCATAATAAGTGCGATGCTGGTGTCTGCAATAATAGCTGCTAATTACTAATGAGTCGACGACATGTTAATCTTTCAGTTTTATATACATTGGGTGTAGTGCACACCTCCTGCTCAAGCCTCAAATCTGGAAATCCTGACTAAAGATGTATAGATTAATATATATACTTATTGTACTTATTAACCTTTCACTAGAGCAAGGACTCCTCTTCTTGTCTGGCCAACAGCAGCTACTGAAGTCTGTCGATACTTTGCAGCAGGCTCGATTTACAACTGTACAATAAGTATTGTATCGGCTATGGCTATAAGCTGATTAGCATGGTATAAACAGCAAGGTATGATCATAACTTTTTGCCGGTCAGATTTTTCGGTAGGCACATTAGTAACTAATGATAATTTAAAAATGATATGGGTAAGCGTTGACTTATGCGCGGACATGGACCATATCTGAACTGTTGTGATCATACCATGTTCTTTTTATCACGGCTATCAGGTACCTACTTACCTACCTATATTATCTTACTACTGTATACGTGTAAATATTGTATAGGTTATATCAAATACCCACAGATTTCGTTTTAATTTATTAAAAGTTGTTTCTCTCATTTTATTTACTTAAGTAGTAAGTACGTTTCACCTATCATCATTGACCAGTGACCGTATACTTTGATGACATCGTGATGGATAAAGGTACTTACTATTATAGTGCAGTGACTGAATTTGTGATGGTGCTGAAGAATTTTTGCATCACTTTCTTTTCTGAATTCAAGAAATAAATAAATCCAAAAACCAATTTTTATAGAATAAGATAAAAATCATCTAATATTGTTTGTACAAAAATCACACAAAAATGTGTAAAACTCATGTTTCAAACAATTTAGAGTCAAAACGAATTGTCTATGCATCCTATATTCTTATCACTGGTATCAGACACTCAAACTATTCACTATTGTCAAACTCATCAATGACTTGCTCAGTATTGGTAAGTTGCCTTTTTAAAAAGTTATAATATTGCTAACTTAGCTGTTCTTTAACTTATGGTTATTTAATAACAATGTGTTACTGTACATTTGTGTTGTAAATTATATTGTATTCACCTCTTGAACACTGCTGCAGAACTTCATGAGTAAGACTTTAAGATTTTCTGGCGATGCTGAACAATAATTTCATGCCACCGTAGGCACCAGATGCCTAAAGTGGTACGCCATATTTGGTCAGGTCAATTTAAGTTACTACTATTGTCAATAGTGGTTCTCATTCGCACACAAGCTTCTGAGCAATAAAAAAAAAGAATTATTTAAACAAGAGTGTCAAGAGAAACAGATGTAATGATGTTACGATTAACAATGGTATCAGTTATGTTGGTTTAAATGATTTGTACATAGAGAGTATCTATAGAGCGAGCCAAGTTTACAGCTACTTTGTCTATTGAAACTCCTTACATGATTTTATTTAAAAAAATTATTTTGTAGGGGAATTGTAGCAATAGAGTTAGTAAATTAGATATGTATGCTAGTTCAAACAAAACTAATTCATGAGATTATGTCTTCTGAGGATTTAAATGATCCTAAGTTAATATAAATAATAATGAGGTATCATAGAAAAATCTATCATAACCTGTAAAGAATGTTGTTTATAAATAATAATAACATAATATGCCGAGACTAAACATTCATAATATAATTGTTTGCAAAAAAAATCTGATACATTTTATGAACATGAACTATTATAATCAATACATATTGAAGAAATCATAAATCATACTACAATATTACATAACTTTAAATAATTATAATCTAAAAAATAAATATTATAAGACGTATACATTTTTGACAAAGTATTTCTTATATATTGTTGTCAATTAGTACATAGTCTTTTATCATGATTATTATATAGTTTATGTTCTAAATACCCAAATAATAATTATTAATAAATAGTAACTACTTACAGTTACAAAATAAAGGATGTATTTATGTAATAATAATGCTATTACTTGAAACATAACTTTTGGCACACAATTAACATGTAGTAAAGTTTTATACTTAAGTAAAGAATTAAAAATTTATTAATTAATTATTATTTTTAGGTATAAAACTTTATGTACAAATGTACAATCTTAAATTCTAATACAATAAGAATCATAACAAAAAAAATACATATGGAGAGGGTTTTGTTGGTAAAAATAATAACTGAAAAGATAAATGTTATTATTACTTGTAATTCATTTTTTTCTTAATTTATGTTTCATATATTTTGTTTCTAATGAATAGTGAGTATTTCATAAAACATTAGTATAACTATACTTAAAAGTGTTAATTACCTTATTTAATAAGACTTAAACAAACATTAAACAATTAAATACAACAATATATCTATTTTAAATAATACAATTTATTATTTAACATATCATACCAAATAGTTAAAATGAAAAATAAATAAATCTTATTTATCACAATTATATTTTTATACTTTGTGTTTCAATGAATTTTTAGTAAATTATTTATATTTATAAAATATTGATGTAAAAATACAAAACAAGTATTTGGAATGTATTGTTGTATCATGGTATTATATACATATATTTGTAAATTAAATATTATTTGGACAAATTATGAAATATATAAAATTAAATGTTATGATAAAATAAGCACAAACTGCATATATAGTTTGGGAAAGTTTTACTCAAATTTATTTTTATATGAAAGCATCTTCTATAAAAATACAATTTTAAATTGGATAGCAAAAATATGCTGAGTAAAAATATAAAACTAAATGAAACAAAAATTAATTTAAAATAATAATATTTAATTAGTAAAAAAAATTGTTGATGATTCAAATCATTTAATACGGTTATATCGGCTTTGATTAAGATATTAAACACTTAATGTAGGTAAACAAATGTAATAGTGTCTGATAATATTAAGGAGTACTCACTCCATAATCATGTCTAGTTCTTCTGGTGCCTGAATTAGAAGTACATTTGAACAAATTTCCATTATTGAAGTGACTTGTTCGTACAAAATCTATAACTGTATATTCGGAAGTTTCTTTTTTAGGGGGAATTGGTGGCAACTCATTCTTATTTTTATTGTTTTTAGGTTTACAAACAGCAATTTCAACTTCAGTATAAGTAACTACTTCTGTAGGAGACGCATAAGAATTACCATTATGAGCATTATCTACCAACGCACCATTATGATTGTGATTGGCATTCAGCATATTTTCATAAATAGCGTAGTATGAATTGTCAGGATTTAGCTCGAGGTATGGAGATTCAACATTTGACTCACTGCTATTTCTTAGTCCATTAAATCTGACCTCATCATAAACATCTTCTTCATGATGATTTGTTTTTGGACGTGATAGACCAGAATAAAAATGCACTTCAGAAGACATATCTTCAGCCATATTTGTGTCATTTGAAATCTAAAATAAAAATGTTTTCTTAATTAAAAATGATTGCTAGACATGACATTTACCTATTTATTCTTTTAAACAAGGAAAAAAATTATTATTGGTGTTATGTATGTATTAATGATTCTTATTATAATTCCGAACATTGATATCCTGATCATCAAACATTTTTTTTCATTGTCAGGCCACTTTTTCATTACAATAGAAAATATATATATTTTTTGTGTGCAAGAGACACATGTCCCATACATGCTAAACTGTTGAAGGGCTATGTTTACAATATTTTTTTGAATTCAAATTTGTAATTATCAATTTGTTTGCCTTTTGGTAATGATATAAAAATACTTATTAGGAACTTACATTTAAAAAGTATAATTTAAAACAAAAGTATATTTTATCTATTAATATATGATAACAGTACAATATCAGAGCCCATTGTACATTTTTCCAAGGTAAACCCTTATTTTTAATCCATACTTAGTAAACAGAACAAAATTATGTAATACAAAGCAAGTTCAACTCCACCTAATGCTTAGACCATGGGCGCCCGGAGGGGAGGTGCAAGCTGGATCATCCCCTCCTCCTCTGACTTTTGGAAATTTTTTTTTAATTGAGAAAATGTGAAAAAAATTGTCGACATTTTTAAATTTATATATAAATGCTAACATTGCCCCCTCCGAGTTCACCTATTTGATATTTCACAACTTTACAATTTTAAAAAGGCACAAAGTTGTAGTAATCCTAAACGATCACATGTGAATATTATACAGAATTTTTTTGAAAATAATAACAGTTGTTTTATATTTAAAAAAATATTAATACCAATCGATGATACCTGTATATGTCGTTTGATAGTATTGAAAATTTTATCAGCATCTTTGCTTCTAAATGCAAATATTCCTTGACCGTAGGGAGACAAACGGCCAGCCTCGAAGCAGAACATAAAATCTTCATAACCATAACGTCGGATTGTGCTCAGTGGACATGAAATAGTTGATTTTTCACTTGCATAATGCATTACCAAATCGCTATCAGTGATTTCAATCTGACCATGATTTATTTCGTTACCGCTGTAATCGATGTTAGTAACCTGAAAGTTATTTTCGTATAACAGTCATTAATTTTCATAGAAATATTCGAATTGATTATTTGTAGGTAGGTGGTAAGTGAAAAAATTGCAGGTACCAAAAAAAAAAAAAAAAATGAAATAATTTCGTTGCTGCCCACACTAATAATTATCAGTAGGCAGGTGCACTTACTTTGAACATAGTCGAAGTAGATTCGGTTGAACCAGCTTTCCTCTTGCTGGATACACAACCCATTTTTATGTACCTAGGTTTATAATACCTGATATATAATAAAATATAAAATATGTGAATACGGTGTGTATGTCTACGATATAACGTGCGAGTATCGATGGATGGTTTGAGACGGACGGATGGACGATTAGTAACTAAAAAACCGAATTAAACGTTATTGAAAATAGGGCCGTGTAGATGACTCGCACTGAAATACCGAACGGAGCGCGGGATCGCTCGATAGTGAAATAGTACAACAGCAGCAGCTGTGAGCTGGTTACACCGAGAACTGGAAGGTTAACATTAGAGATCAGTCAGGGCGCGCTGTGGGTTATCATTTCAGTCCTCACTCCTCACAGTTAATATTTAATCTTATCGACCACCGGACAAACAGGCAATCATTTAAAATACATTTGTATTATATTGTATATTTGAATGTATAAAAATAATAACAATATAAATAACACACTAACAGTAAATAACGAACTACTTATACATGGGTATCATTTACATGTTGATATGTGCTTGTCTCCAAGCATTATAATAATAGTAACATCCGTATACCCAATGAGCACTATACGACAATATAAGATTTTAGGTGCATCATACAATATGTACTTTACTAGGGGGTTGAGTGGCGGGCAGATTAAATCGATAATAAATATCTGATAGGATGTACTGGCGTACCTTCTTTTGTCGGGGGCTTCGGACTTCGTCCGAATTACAAAGGGACGAGCAAGAATCGGTTTAGTGAGTACCTAAAATCATTATATTATTGTTGTTTGCTCACGAAAAAACACTTGCCCCGGCACTGCGGGTGTTCGACCCGAAGGACATTTCTGGGCACATGAGTTTATCCAAAAATGTTTAGGATACGTGATTGTCTCATAACAATTGCAGTGTACGATCTCTATATATAATATCATTTGTTACCCGAGTATAATTCTTCGACCGCACTTCGTCTGGCTGTTGTCTATAGGGAGAAGTAAAACAACGTTCAATATTAGTATATATGTGTTATGTACCCAGTACAAATATTATTTTGAAACAGTTTTTTTAACTATTCGGTACTTACGTAAAATTTTCTTTTTTTCACTAGTTTTATTTTTTAATGTTATTTGTTTGGGTATTGGGTACCTACTACCTACCTACAAAATAACAGTGACCGTATGTCCATATCACCTATACACCATCCTTTAAAAACGGATAATTTATTTCTCTCCCTTTCAATAAACGAGCTATTTTAATGGCGAAATGTTATCATGTTTTCATTTTCTTATTTTTCAATACCGTTGAAAATAATATTATGGTATAATAATTGTATTCTATGTTAAAATCCAACATCGAAATTTAATGACTATTGGACCGACGAGTACGATAATTTTTATTTATCTCTTATTATAATTACGATTTACTAGCAAAGACACAAAAATATATATGTTAGTTTCAAAACTCTCCACACATTTGAAGGATAATTATTATTGATAAAATTATAATTAGGCAGAATATACTATTAAAATAATAAAAAAAAAATTACTCTTTGATTTCTTGTAATTAGTATAATATTACATGTTATTATTATTATTATAGTTATGAGTTATTAGTTGTTGATCGACGTTTGCTATAAAAAAAATTGTGAATATTTATTTACAAATTATTATTTTAACGATTTACTAGTTTAATATAGTTATTTAACCAGTTATTATTACTAGAAGAAAACTTATCAAAAACTAAAGAATGACGCAATATCTAAAATCGTATGCAGGACAATAACATTGTAAATTGTAATTTTATAGTAGAGAATTTGAGGATTCACGACAACAATAAAAGATCAAGTTATTACTACAAATATGAATTCCCATTTTCATTTATAATTCAGCAGATTTTTTTTGGAATTTTGATGTGTCTATATCAAAATATGACTAAGTAGTTTGAGAATTTTATATAACCGTGTATATATTTCAATAGATGTTCTATTAAAGAAAAAAATGAGAGCGACATACTTCAAAAATCACCCTTTATACTCGTAGTAATATAGTATAGCGTTATACGAAATTGAGAAATTTTAAGGCATTCGAGTAATAACATTAATTTAGTAGGTAAAAGTATGTATACTAGAAATATTTTATTATACGTAAATATTTATAATAATATTATACCTGCCTTATCCCGCTATAACTATAACCTATGGCCTATACGACTAGATCTATAGCAAACAAATAGCCTCTGATCAATTTTAAGTTATTTTTTGTTCGTTTTTTTATTAGTTATTAATTATTTACGTTATTATATTATCATGTAATAAAATTTGCTTTGTCTGAGGTACTGTTAAACCCGAATTACATTCCAAAACTCAAATTCGTGTCGAATTGTGTACAACTAAATTCCATGTATGATTATTATCTAATTCAATAAAATTGTAAAATTTTCCATACCCTTTTTTTAGACTTAGAAATTAAGACTTACAAGGTATACCTTGTTATAACTGGCGTGGTGTAAAATCCTACATTCCTAGACATCATAATGTAATATATTAGTATAAGTAAATGTATAATGATTATAGCATGGAAACATATTTTAAATATATAATAATAATATGTACGTCTATACTTAACTATTAGTTAATTTTTGGTAAAAATTGTGTACCCATTCTAATTCGATTCATCATAGATTTATCATTTTATTATTTTCATATTTACTCATTATGCATTTATGCTTCTTATGAAAATTGTATTAAAGACACTTAACTGTTGTTGCAATACGATTGTGGACGATCACCATCAAAAGGTACTATTTTTTACCCAAAAGATCACACGGTTTCGGTCGAAATTTAGTGAAACGTTGCCAAGTCGTGAGACGTAGTCTACCTACAACGGTTCTCAATTTTATGTTTGGGCTTATATATATAGTGTCTCCCTACAGCACGATGTAAGATATATACGTAATTACGTAAAATAAATCTTAAATCATACAACACAAATGATGATAAGTGATAATAGATTCATAATGACATTGGCGTTGTATTTCTATAGTCCACAATATTGTGATTATAAAAATAAGTTAAAAATCAAAAACTAAAGTGTTTTATAAATTAAGTACTTGCTGTACATATTCGTTAAAAATCCACAATATCAATACAATTACATACGTAAAAAAATAAATAATTGAAAATCAAAAAAGCAAAAAACCGAGCTCTCATTTTTCATTATTTAAATTTATATTTTTTGTAACTATTGAGCTGTAATAATTTTATATTGGTACCTTTATTAAAAAAATTTATATTTTTTCCTTCTATAATGAAAACAAATTGATTTTAAATATTGTAATACGTTTTGGTGATTTTTATAATCATTATAGCTCTGAATAGTTAATTTAATTCTATCTAAATCTTTTTTGATACTGATTTTTCTCGACCTTAGTTTATTGATGAAATTATTGTCAGTAATACAACAGAAATTAATTGTTACATACTACAATATTAATACACTCAGAATTCCCACCTTCCCAGATTATCGAAATATTATTTATTAATTTGGCAACTTGTGTCCGCAATCGTGGCATTTTCGGGGGTCCATTGTTGAACTATAAACGTTCGCAATCGTGTTATTAAAAAGGTCACCCTGATAAGTACCGTCTGCAATCGTTTATCGCCGGTTGTAAAATACCTATTATTAATATGTTATACATTAATATATTGTACATCATACTAAACCATGTTATATAGCGGCGATATTTATCCCATTTGATTTGGGTGAAAAGGAGAGCACACATTTAATTTCAATGAAAGTTTTTCGGCGAACAATTTATACTATAATATCACGTTTTTATTTATTTTATTCATAAACGAAGCCAGGTTTTCATTTAGTACATAATATAAGTAACATTTTTTCTAAAAGTGTTGGTAGGTAAGTGTATGTATGTAAGGGGTATCATCCAATTGTCTATTATTTACAAGCATTTAAAGGAATTGCCACTTCTCCAATTTGGACCCATTTCATGACGATTTAAAAACTTATATTTATCTTATAAAAGGCTTAATATATATAATATAATATGTATATTTTCATTGACGAAGCATTATTTAGTTTAAAATCTGTAAATAAGTATGAGGGTTGAAACATACAAAAATGACCTCATAAGAATAAAAATTTGATTTTTCGTAAAAATATAGAACAATAATTAATAGCACGTCAACATTAAATATTTATTTGGCTAATATAGACTTATAGTAATAACTAATATTATTGGTTATTATTTGAAATTAAGTAATATAGTTGTATAGGTATATGCGTCATACACATCAATGCCTTAGAAAAAATCGATCATATCGTGTCATTCGTATCTCAACTTATTTATTTACTACCCATACAATATTTAAAACAATTAAATTAAAACCATTGGTAACTGCGGAAATCTGAGCACTAAAAATTATATACAGTAACACTAACACCTAAAGGTATTACACAAGAATTTAACTTACCTATTCATAAATGATTATGTATATCAATTTGTATACGAGTATTTTCTTTTTTATTAAGATTAAATGGTACCTACGCATAATCCAAAATAATGCAGGAATTTAAGCAATGTTCTTTGAAGCATATGGTTATTACTTATTGCAAGGAACCGGAATATAAAATTAATTTGCTAACCAGTGACCTTGTATTTTAAATAATCAACATTTCTATTGTCAACCCCTATAACTACTAACTTAAACGCACAGGTACTGAGTTTGTTAACATAACCTGGAAATTCATAATGATTAGTGCGCAGTTCATAAAAATATAATAAACAAGAAACTCTACAATTGAAATGGGAATAATAGAATTTTCTGTTCATATTTTTTAACTTTGTTGTAATATTCAATTAAAATAATATTAGGTGTATGAAAATAAAAATAAAATAATGTATTTTATTATATGGGTTTTTCGAGTATATAATACAACTGTTGCATCGAAAATTACGTCGCGTTGATTTTATTCACTTTTGTTTCTTATTTATTATTTATTATTATTTATTTTTATGTATTCACGTATTTATTTAATTTATTCACTCATTAACACTCAAGATAATATTTTATGTTTTGTACTTTTGTTATCTACTGATGTTAAAAGACTGTTATTTCAATCAATCCAATTAAAAAAACACCATTTTTTCCAAATACGACTCACTCATGATCCCCAAATAAGATATAGCAAACACTTTTTTTATACGTTAACCTATTCATAAATCATAATAATTTTTGGACAATCGTAGTTTTATAAAAATATATTCATCATACCATGGACGAATATAACAGTAGGTATTAAATATCAAAGTAGATATCCCTATTATAGGTATTGATGCAATGCATGCGTATCTTTTTTTGTATATTGTCCATAAAAAATAAATAGAAAAAAATGTTTTTCTCTTAGATCTTTAAATAGAATGCTTTTTGAAGCATTATATTTACAATAGGTAAGTAAAATAACAAATGAGAACTTATAAAATAAATATTAGGTGTATGTATAACAACTTATGGTGATATTTTTATAGCTGAGGTGTATAAAAAAATGTATTAAGCAACATCAATGGTGAATGTACACGATTTTAAAATTTACGGTTATACACTTTTTTATGGTTTGAAACTCATTTTATATAGGTACAAAAAAAACATACTATACGAAGTTAATTTCAATATTTTTGTTGTATATTGATAGTATTATAGGTCTAAAGCGCAAATTTAAACACTTATATTTTTAAATTCCCAATCAATACCAATCACTAGCTAATACCAGATAGGCAGGTAAAATAAGTCACTGAATTACATCAGACCTTATACAGTTACTACAGTACTATACTTATAATATAATTTATAAATAGTGTAGAAACTATTTAAACTCTACTATACTAATTACACATATTAGTTGTCAGTAAATATTGGCACGAATGCCGAAGAAAAAAATATATAATACGCAGACGAGCACATAAGGTATCACATCGACATGAAAAGCTACAATTTTTCTAAAATATTAAAAAAGGACGTTCGTCGTTTTAAGTATATTAATATTAATAGGTTCATTCATAATATTCAATTTATTTTTAGTTAGTAGTAAAAAGCATGGAACCACAACCCATTTAGTATAATATATAGCTCAAAACATAACCTATATTTAATAGGTTTTTGATTGCCGACTGAAAACTATACGGTCCGAATTACTGTTTATTCTTAATACTTCCTGTTATATTATACCTACGAGTATATGGGTTATGTTTTTATTAAATACACCTGTTGTAATATATTCCCCGGCCTCCCTAAGAGACACCGATTTTTAATGAGATCGCTGTCTATTTCTCAATTTTAATAGTTATATTATACTATTACTATCGTTGCTTATTATTTTTCATAAAATTAAATAGGCCATATTATACATATATAATGTAGGTATGTAAAAAATGCGTATAATATCAGTATTATCATAATAGGGTACGGGTCATATTATTAATATTGGGTAGAGTGTACACTGTATATTTGGCGGGTCGAGGTACAACAGCGCCCCAAGTATTGGACATTATAAAACGTCATACTATTATACAGTTATACCTGTTATATCAAGTCCAATCAGTCTTGTAAATCAGTATGAGGGAAAATGTCATACTACAGGTGTTTAAAATCTTAACATGACCCTACCACATATACAAATAATTAACTTCTTCTTACAGGTAACTAGATAACAAAAAACAAGTAGGTACACATTTTGTATAGAGTACTTCGTCTTACTATGAGTATCGAAAAAGAGGCACTGTAAAAACAATCTCCCTATTAAACGACTACAAAAAAGGTAGCATGCAAACTGTGCAGTTCTATTGTTATTTTATTATGTGTAATTTTTATTAATTTTCATTTATAATTTATGCTGAATATTACTTTTTCGTTAAATAAGTACGACAATAAAAAAATATATAATGATGGTCATTTTGTTTTTATATAATAATCCCAAAATATTTCAAAAACATTTTTGTTTTTTAATTTCTTCATCGTCAGTTTAATTAATATACATTTACATTGTTGAATGTGATCAAACCTTCAAGCGAGTTCCGTTCAATCTATATTATTAAAAAGCTTATAAATCGTACTAACGATAAAAAATAATATATATTAGCCTTGATTAGTGAAACAAGCCGTATCTTCTCGGGAGGCCAACAAACAAACAACTTTTTCGCATGTTAGAAAAATATCCCAAATTTCCAACAACGAATATTGTATAATATAGTCTCTTATGTATGTGTATTGTGTATAAACGGTGGCTTAGAAGACTAGCTCACCCCCCCTACGTTTTTAGAATATATGTTGTGTACGTACATGAAACAATATAGATTATACCCCCCCCCCCTTGTAAAAATGTATCATGTTGCCTATGTATTTAGAAGAACAGTATAAGTATATTGGTTTAAGTAACTGTGACGGTAGTGAATTTTATAAAGATGTAACCTTACTTGAAACTTTCAACACATGATACTGAACTAACTGAACTTTGAAATTACCTTGTGCGCCGGAAGTACTTGAAGTGTTATGACTTTATGAGCTTAAACAATCTAATTCAACATGAAATTCACAATTGGTGTATGAACTTCTTGTCATCATTCAGTATGATTAGTTTTTAAAAAGTCCGTACACTATTTTCAATTTCTAAATATTCGTCATTTTTCGGTTTTTTTAACGAATTTCATCAACTTAAAATATTTTATTATCATTGTTTTATTTTTCAATTGATGGGTTTCAGTGGATTAAAAATTTAAAACGTTAATTACCATTATCAGTACTTTGACATGTGAGGACGCGTTTGTCAACGTGTCATCAATATTTGTGCAATATAAGCTCTACATATATACCTACCTTAAGATTAGTAGAATAACAATAACACTGACCTTTGACGGTGTGACGAATGACGATTTCTTAAATTTACGTTTGTATGTTGGGTATAATAATGTAAGACAGATAAGTATTATAAATAAAATATTGACATGTTTCAAATCTTAAAATCTATTGGTGTATTTGATATTATAAAATATGTAAGCACCAGATTAATATACATAATATATTTCTACTTATAAAATGATACAATGACAGAGTGGCATGATCAGGAAAGGAATGTGTTCGGGGGTTGTAAGTTTGTAACCCCCAAATAATGTGTTTTTTTCTATGAATCCTACGTTATATGTAGATAAATATTGTAGTTGCATGATTTTTATTGCATTTCGAGTTATGGTATGGTTTTTATGAAATGTATAACTCTCCGTGACAAATCCTTAGTTAGCCACTGCGGTGACACTTTTTCATATTTGACTGGAAATGTATATATGTTACAAAATTTATTTATTATCTTATAACGCTATAGCAGAGCAGATTAATGTTAAATATAAAAATCGTAAAAATTAAATTATAAATTGCAAGATTAATTATGTGCAAGTTGTATAGTACCTAAATTGGAGACGTTTTCAATTTGTATATTAGTATATACAAGTTATTGTTTATATGTATAGCAATTATCTATTTTTATAACTATATAATATCCACAAATCCGCGTTGGATAATTTTAACGTGTTGTATTTCTTCATGTGTCGTAGGCAAGCGAAGATTGAGATAATTTTGAGCCTGGCGCCAAATTATAATAATATTTCCATTATCTGTACATCTTGGGAAACATATTACCCACCAGGGGCCCACTATTGATCGAAATACTTGCCCCTGCCCCCTTTCATTTATACTTGGCCGTCGAAACCCATATACACGATAAATAACCCGCGATTCCAATAATATTGTAAAATTAATATAAAAAAATAATTTTATTTGCCGCTACGGTTTATATCAATACCCTATAAAATCGTTATAAAATCACTTTCGCCTTTTCGTCTCTCGTGCATCACAGACGCCCTTGTGCCTCTTGTATTGCAAACAGTGGACTCGGCAGGGTTGAAAAAACTTTCTGAGCGCGGGACGGTCGTCGTATTGATCTGTGGCCCACTTTCGCATGCGTCGCGAGTTGAAAGGTCGGTAACGCGCGTCACGTCCGGCCGCGCGCTCGTCGCCGCCGGTCCCTCCGACACCGGTCCCTCCACCACCAGTCCCTACTCCACCGGTACCGACAACGCCGTCGGTAACACCACCACCACCGTCCACCGGCTGATGCGACAACTGTGACTCGGCACGGCTGCTGTTGTGGTGGCCGTCGTGTAGGGGGAGGTCTGGTGGCCGCGGCGGACATGGCAGGCTGGGAAGGCAGGTGGCCGCCGGGTAAGTTAAGCACAGCGGCCGGTCGGCCACACACTTCAGTCTCTCGCAATAGTGCTGCATCCCGTCGTTCCTGGTACACTTGCATCCGACGATCAACCGGCCGCCCCGGAATTCAAACCGGTCGAACTCGGCGGTCGGCCGGTTTTCGTCGCACGTCGTTTTATTTCTCGACATGAATTTGTTTACGCTCTATCCTGCGGACCGTCGTTTACGGTATAATTGTAATTATTTTTATCGTATCTTTAGACTGGAAAAACATTTTCAAAAAAAAAAATCAGAAAAATAGGTATTATAGGTATTACAGGTATTATAATAATATTAATATGTTTTATTAGTTGTACGTGGATACGTATAGAGGGGTCACAGAGAGGGGCTCGTTGTGGCTCGATTTGGATTTAAACGTTTAAATGTAATTAAGGAGTGAGCCCACGCGGGGATAGGAATGTATATTTTTTATACATTTTTATTTAAAATTACGGAATTCTTTTTAAAACACTTTTACTAGTTTTTTGATTCGTATCATACGTCTTTATGGATGAATTTAGAGGTGGGATTATGATGCAATATATTTTTTTCTGATGTTATAAAACGTAGACTTGTTTGAATACAAAAAAACGTATTTTAGGGGACCCTCCAAATTATTTCAATACATTTTTTTTGAGTGTATTTGCTTTTAAGTTACTTTTTAGAATATTTTTCACATTATATTTTTAGAGTTCAGAAACTGTAACACAAAATTAATTTTTTTGTGATAAAAATAAGAGTATTATTAGAAGTCCTATATTGTAGTCAGATAGCGTCGAACGTGTTGTATATATGTAATATTCGTCGACCACAGTTTTCATATCTAAGAATAATTAAAGAGGCGATAACAATACTTCTATTACCCATAATAATATAATATAATATAAATTCAATACTATCCGACGCGTTTCCCGTTATATAAATATAAAAACTGTAAGAAATTCATTTTTTAACACTTTTTCATAGTACATATTATAATATTTATACAAGGAGTTTTTGCATATTTTTAGGGCGTTTTCATCCCTGTACTATTGGTGATCGTAATGGCTTGCCAGATGGCCGTATATAATATATGCTGCAGAATAGCACACTCCAAATAATTATAAATCCTAATAATATGGTGGACATATAGTAATTTATAACTACGGTTGACGACATTCAAAATTATCATCTCAAAGCTGTCAGTCAATATACACGTCGTCCTTGGTATACGTGGTCGAGTAGGAAGAAAGTACGCAGAAAGCTTCAATATCGATCCCAAAATTTTAAGTGACGTCACTGATACGTAAATGTGACGCAGGCAGATTTTAAACGTGTCTTCAATTTTGAAACACTTTTAATTGTATAATAAATGTTGTGTTGGTTCTTAACATATTTTTTTACTAGGTTATGAAAATGCTATAAGAAAAATATTATTTCTACGAATACCTACTTTTTAAACAATTTATTGCATGTAATAAACTAATTAAAGCCATTGATGAAAGATGAAAGATAATTTTATATTAGCTCGGAAGTTCGGTTTAATCTAAAATGGTAAACATCTCGTTAAAAAAAAAAAAAAAAAAAAAAAAAACAACCCATACAATTTTTCAGCATTTTTTTTTTACTTCGCTAAATTGTCTCTACTGAAAAAAGTAGCTATTTAAGTGCTGTGAATGTTTTGCTTTTTTCATGTAGTATACTAGTATCACACTTCGGGGACGGAAAACACGGTAGTATAATATATCTTCCACCAGTATGGAAATGTTCTATACTAGTTTGAAGGTAGTTGACTTTTTAAACCGTCCATAAATAAGTATGTACAAAAATAAAACTACAAAGCACACGCACAATGTAAGTGCGTATTTAAGATTTTCCTATGATATGATGCCCCTCCACTCACCATAGCCATATAATCCGCTATAACATATAGGTATACAATGTAGGTAACATTATGCTTTGTATTCATATCGTTATACCAAATGTTTAATCTATAAGCACCTATAGAGTAGGCCTATAATATCTTAGGTAACCCGTAAACTTAACGTTTTATTTTTAAGCTTTGAACGTATTGTAATATTGTAATCATCCTAAATTCATAAAGCAATAATAATAGGAACCGAAATAATAATTTGACAGGTCAGAGGTGATTTGTTGGTTGTTTGTACTTTTTTTTCGTTTTCTGAAATAGGGAACAATAATAATATATAATATAATACTGCGTGTTTCTTTATTATTGTTTAACCATCATTGTATAGTACTCGTTACCACTATAATAAATTCAGTAAGTAAATAATTTTGTCTATTTACAGCTACTAACAGGTATGTAGGTATATAGCGGGAGAGTTGAGAGTATGGAACAATTTATAACCCCCTCGCCCTGAAATATTTTTCTTTACACGTGCCTCAGCTGTAATATATACACGACTTATGCTGCAGTTTTATCTATTTATCGTATTTTTGATCGACAATCTCTATAATATGAGTTCTAAACATTGACAAAATTACTATATGAATGCCTACCACGACTTAAAAGAAAATTATAATGTGATGATAACATTATCTACTGTACCAACTACTGTAATACTGCATGTATATTATATATACATACTCACAGTATTATACGTCATCACCCTGCCGGTTAAAATTAAATCTTTGAATATTTTTATTTTTTCTGTTTCACTTCAGTTGAAATTATTATACAAACACAAAAACAAAGCGAAAAATTGGTTTTATGATTTTCGAATTTTTAATTCTGGGACATGCCTACATTAGATGTAAACACAAAAACTACAGACGGATTAAAAAAAAAAAATATTTAAAAGTAACGAGAACCCAATTTTGTTAAGATTGCCGATCGTCTTCAAGTGCTCAGACAAAAATACGTCAAAATCAAGAAATCAAATCATAAAAGTAATCATTGCAATTGTGTTAATAAATATTTGATATTTTAAACAACTCCCCCCCCCCTCAATCTAAAGGCATCCATTGATATAGCTTTTAGTTTTTATTAAAAACGATCTAGTAGTTTTTGAATTTATAGAGGACAAACAAAAATCATTAATTTATACATATATGTATTATAATATTATTTATGTCTTACATGTAATGTTATTATGGTTATTAAGTACTTGGTATTTTATTTGTTTTTTCGATTATTGATATATACCAAAATGAGTATCATTATATTATTTTAGAAATGTGGGTAGGTGCATTAAACTTTATTATTAAAAACTAATTAAACGCTGGTCTTAGGACGAGTTTAAAAGATTTGATAGTAAAAAGAAAAAACTAATGAGTAATCATTAGTGAAAAAACAAATGATTGAAAATGAAATTTAATTTATAATATTATTCTTTCTCTTCATTTATGTTGTTTATTTTGGATAACATGAGCACTATACTTTGTTTGATGTAAATCTTATTGTACATTAATGAGATAGCATTGGTTAATGATTATGTACTAATCAAGTTTTAAATACATATTTTCTAATCGGTTCCAATTTATTATTATAATTTCAATGGAATCATACTAATCAAAGGTTTTTGAATACCGAAAATATTCTTTTCATGCGCACATTGAACTTCTAATAAGACCTAATCGAGCTCTTAGTAATTGATTCGTCATATCTGTTTATTACATACGCACAACATAATATAAAATGTACTATTTGTTCGACCAAACTATAACATTAATGATTAGTCATTATTCATAAGTCGTTAAAATTAAATTACTGCGGACTATTATTACATTCATAGACGATTAAGTCCTTCTATGATGAATCTTTGAAATTTTTTATTGTAGCTAAATGCTTATTTTTATGTTTCATTTACAATAACCAGTATTTTAAAGAACCATTTCTTAACATTTTCATGAAGTTTTACGAATGTAATAACAAATCTTAAAAACTTATAAACGAATATAAAATACATAATTTGGATTTTTTTTTATCATTAGACCAAAAATCAATAAATGTACAAAAGAAAGCTCCAAGTGTCTTAAAAAATGTACACTTTTATTATGAGTTAAATTTGTATGTGTGCAAATACTTTAAAAATGATGTAGAACTGTGGAAGTATTACATTTCGTAAAAATTTTAAAAATAAAAATATAATTTATTGGTATATTTTATTTTTAAAACTGATCTATAAATTGTTTTAAAATATGTTTTAGAACCTTGGTCATCTATATAATAGGTGTATTTGGTCATACCGCAAATTGCAATACTATTTGTAAAGTTAGTGTAAGGCTGTTATAAAAAATACATTCTAAAAAAAAGTTTTAACGAGGATTAAGTTAAAGGTATAAATGATTTATGTTATTACTAAAAAAAATTTTGGATTGAACTTATAAAATATGTGACGATTATTGTGCAAATATATAAAAAATTAGGTTAGGATAAATACCTGCCCTAAATACACTAGGTATACGTCAAAGATTAAATTAACTATAATCAAAAATCGAAAGGCAAGTTGAATCGTAAATTCTACTATATATAACAGGACTAAATACATTTTATACCTACGTAACTAGAATTCACTGACTTCGACTTCGTATCTAAATGAAAACACATATAAGCATAAACTTCCTGTCCAAAGAGATAAACAATTTATAGGACTATGAAGTATGAGGCATCTTCTTGTTATCATTGCTGTGTACACAATAATTATTATTGGTGTTTTTTATACCCATAATATGTTTGATATTAATCGAACATCATACCTAATAATAATAATATATTTAAATATTAAATTTAATTAGATTGTTAGTTTTTAACGTTGTAATCATTTTTTTTTTTTTTTAGCTTTTAGTAAAAAACTATAATAGCTCGACAGTTAATACAGAAATGTTGTAATCATATTCGTTTCAACAGTTTAGTTACAGTTATTTACGATACATCCATATAACTAGATAATTATAGCCTTATAGGTACTGGTAGCCACTATGGAGTCTTCAAATAAATGGCTTCCTATAGTAAAAACACGTTTGACGAATGTATACCATCGCGTCACCCGTAATGGCTACCTTTTTTACTGTAAAATTATCTCAGTCATTTAAGATCACTTTTTTATCCCATTTCAGCGCAAGTACACTTTTTCATTAGAATATTTTTACCGAAGGTCGTCTCAAATTTGTGTAGTGTACTTTTTATTTGAACGTGGATTTTTACT